TGAATTGTTCTGGTGCCCGCCGGAGCTAGGGCGCCAGGCGCATTTGCTGTCATTCCCAGTTGGGAGCTAATTCCCCATCCTGAAGTGCTGGGCCTGTATCGCATGGACTCAGCCTAAGATATAAACTGTGAACTGCCCTGACTGAAGGACTGGGGCGGAAAGAGTAATTAAGGCCTGGGCTGAGTGTCAGCCAGGACTGCTAAGTGCTCACTGCCGTGATTGAGGGATTTGGCAGAAGGACTAACTGCTAATTGGACTAATCACCAGGTAGACTCACTAGCTGTGAGCTGCGCCTGCTTGAGAAGCAGGGAGGGGGTGCGGCCTCCTGCCCTGTCAGAAGGGGAGAGACACCCAAACCTCCTTACACAGCAATATCAGCTTTCCATCCTTGTGTGGATAACTGTTCTGTTTTTTCTAATGACATGACAAGTAGATTCCTTAAAGGTCTCAAAAGATTGTACCCTCAATAAGGGAGCCAGTTCCCCCTTAGAACTTGAACTTGGTTTTGACTAAATTTATGAGACCACCATTTGAGCCTTTAGCAACATTCTCCATTCTACACTTTTGTGGCAAGTGGTTTTCCTAATTGCTGTCACTTCTGCCAGAAGGTCTCTGAACTGTGTGCCCTCATGTCCGATCCACTATACACAGTCTTTTTTAAAGATAAAGTTCACTTACACTCTCATCAGAGTTTTCTCTCTAAGGTAGTTTCAGATTTTCTTATCAATCAATCAATGTATTTACCTGTTTGTTTTTTATTTTACTCCAAACCACACGCAAATTGGGACAAACAATGGCTATACTTGTTAGACAAGCACAGGCATTCTACATGGGTAGGACCAAACTGTTTCGGCAGTCCACCCAACTGTTTTTGGCTATAGTGGACAGAATGAAAGGTCATCCAGTCTCTTCACAGAGAATTTTAGTTTGGATAATTTTTCTTTTATCCATGCTTGTTATGACCTGGCAGACTACCTGACAAGCTGACTGCTTACTCCACAAGATTGCAGTGTCCTCAATGGAATTACTAGCACAGATCCCTGTACCGGACATTTGTGAAGCAGCAACCTGGTCATGAGTGCACACTTTCTCCTCCTATTACGCCATCACCTATTATTCTAGAGTTGATGCCAAATTTGGTCGAACTGTGCTACAGTCAGTGTGTATGTGAACTCTGATCCCTCCACCTATTTTACTGCTCGGGAGTCGCCAAGTGTGGAAGGCACATGTGCAATCCCTTGAAGAACAAAAAACCACTAAACTTCCATAACTGTTGTTTCTCAAGATGTGGTGCACACGTCCATTCCACAACCCACCTTCCTACTCCTCTACATCAGAGTTTCCAGAAAGAAAGAACTGAGAGGGTCTCAGAGTTGGCTGAGGGAAACATTTCTGGTGACTATGCACGGGGCACATGCAAACCAAGAGCGGAATGCACATGTGCAACGTGTATTGAAAAACAGCAGTCACAAAAGGTTAGTAACTTTTTGTTGTTGTTCAAGCCAAAATTAATTTTTTTTGACTTCTCAGTTTGTTTGGTGTAGTGAGTTTGTCAGGTCTGAGGTAAGAGTTGTTTGCAAAGAACGGGATCCTTTGTCAAAGGAGATGTGAGTCACAACCTGTATGAGGTACTCTTTCCCTTTTTAAAATGAAATAAGGGTACATTTTAAAAAAGTGAGGTACAAAGATAAACAGCACAAATAAACTATATCCTGTTAAATATTACATAAAGTAGAACCTCAGAGTTATGAACACCAGAGTTACGAACTGACCGGTCAACCTCACACCCCATTTGGAACCAAAAGTACGCAGTCAGGCAGCAGCAGAGACCCAAGGGGGAAAAAAGCAGACACAGTACAGTAGGGTGTTAAACATAAATTACTAAAAATATTAAATGGAAAGTATAAAAAAAAGATTGGACAAGGTAAGGAAACTGTTTCTGTGCTTGTTTCATTTAAATTAAGATGGTTAAAAGCAGCATTTTTCTTCTGCATAATAAAGTTTCAAAGCTGTATTTGAAAGAACAACTATAGTGTTTTGTTCAGATTTATAAATGTTTCAGAGTTACGAATAATCTCCATTGCTGAAGTGTTCATAACTCTGAGGTTGTATTGTATAGCTAATTCATCTTTATTTTACGTATACTTACCTAAATTAAACGTTTTTCCCCATTGTCTTGAATCTTTTTTCAAAGCTTAATGCTTTGAGAGGGATAATGTAACACATAATCCTCCTCTCACCCCTCCTAACTAACCTAGGCCTGACCCTGCAACTGTATTACCATGAGTAGTCATACTCACAATAGTGAAGTTAAGCTTGTGCATGAGTTTTTGCAGGATTGGGACCCTAATGGTCTGGGTTAGTTGTTGGGAGAGTTGTTCAGCTGAAGAGTGGTAATCTTAAGTGTTTTAGCCCTTGCATGGTGAGCTGATAGTGTTTTTTGGGGTTTTTTTAAGCATATCAGCAAAAGATTAACTTAACCTTAAAGCAGTTTTTGAAGTAGCTTAATTTGAAGATGGTAATGTAAGTTATCTGTTGTTGAATTTAGACAACTGATAATTTGACTACTGTGGTTACTTTTTACTTAGGTAACTTGGCATGAAATTGCAAGGCCTCAAGTACATGGATATGACATGCATTGTCTAGCAATGACTGGCCGATTTCAGTTTGTTTCTGGAGCAGATGAAAAGGTGCTTCGAGTCTTTACTGCCCCCAAGAATTTTGTGGAAAACTTCAGTAACATCAGTGGTATTTCAATGGAGAAACTATGTTCCAGTGTAAGTATTGAAACAAACAAACAAGCGTTCGATAAAATAGCACCTTTGGGAGAGAGAGAGAATCATCACTACAGCATAACTATTGAGATTAAAATTTATTAAATGTCAAAATTATTTAAAAAAATCCTGAAACCACAGCCCTTAGATATTTCTCCCTTTCCAGTCTATTCGGGCAGGTGTGGGTGTACTTAGATCACATGTACCTTCTCTATCATTTTATCAAATTGGCTGGATAGAAGGAAGGTTGCTGAGGGTTCTAAAGTGTATGGATATTTAGTAAAGGTCAGCCCGTGTAAGCTACTCTTAATAAACAATTAAAAACAAATCTTGTGAATAGGTTCTCAAGAATGTAAGGGCATAATAGCATTATCTAGATGTAGTTGCTGTTGTGTGGTATTATTTGTTCTTTAATGGTATGTTTTGAAACAATCCGAGGCTCCCAGAAGCTATTGTATTAGATATTGTATATAAATGTTGTATACATACTCATCAATGTCTCTTTCCTTTTACCTTGCCTTGTCTTGTCTTTAAACTGTCTTGTGAGGTCTTTATGTCCCAGTTTTCCAGGCTACAGCTTTGCTTCCTTATCCACAGAAAGAGACATGACCACAGCATCTCCATCCTAAAATAGCTTCACTGACTTCCCTGTGATCCAAATCAAATCCATTCTCTTCTCATACTAACTTGCTTAATCTTAATAGGTCTTGTCTCTCAGGTTCAATCCTTCCTGCTCTCTATCTGCTCATCTAGCACTGGCTCCTTTTCCGTTCCATAACATACTCTCTGCACTACAAGCTCATGAGCTCTCTCTGCTGCAGCTACTACCAACTGGAACAATCTTCTTGTGTCCAAACATTTTAGAGTTTCCATGTATTAAATATCAGCTGGAAAAAAATCTTCTCCTATGGCTACTCATATTATTTCTCACTATTTGTCTTTAATGTGAAAAAGCATTTGTGATCATTTGTGTTAATGAAGCTATACGAAATAACATATTGTACTGTATGATGCAGACACATGCTCTGTTTGATTTTCCACACAGTTCTCCCTTTGTACTCTGTGACCTACAGTATTCCAGAACTTTTTACAGGCCTTGTCTGCACAGGAAAGTTTTACCAGTTAGATTGTAACTATGTTCAATACATCTATGATACAAGTTTGATCAGAATAACCCCGTTTGGACACACTTATTCGGGTATAAAACTGGCTTTTTTGATTTAGCTTAAACCCCATCCTCGTGACATAAGGCACTTTTATACCAAAATAAGTGTCCACTTTAAACAAGGCCTTAGAGACTGTTATTTGTATTCTGGGTTTCTGATGTGGCTTTATGATATAATTAAATATTGTTTATCAGGTAAGGTGTTTCCACCAAATCTGTTAACCCAATCTTGGAAAATATTTTTGTCTCAGTGAATTTGCACAGAGGTGCTGAGTATGAATATATGCACCAGCAGGTACTGATCTCTCATGTCCCTGCCCTCCCACTCCCCGAAAAGTGCTCCAACCTGACTTCCCGTCCCTAGCTTTGGCTTTCTCCCAGGGCTTCCCTTCCTTTGACATATAGCTGATGCAAACTGCCAGTCAGCTAACAGGACCTTTTCTCTCCCTATCCTGCCATGTGCCCAAAGCAAAGCTGCCCCTTTGGCACCTGAAGTCTTCTTGAAAATCCCAGGTATATACTCTCACCTCCTTTCCCCCCAGAAAAATCCTTTCTTGTACCCAGACCTCAAAACACCCAGTTCCCAGGTCTTGTTTTCCTGGAAACTGTATTGTTTGAGTTAAGTATTCACTTTATAAAAGCAATCTATATATATTTTGAATAAGTGCAGTTACCTCAGAATACCTGTACTAAAATGATTACAGATGTATGCTTCACATCAAATCTAGAAAATTGAGCAAAGTTCACCATATGTAGTTTCAGAGGAGGGGCTGAAGCATGGCATGGCTTTCAAAGTCTGGCAGTGCAGCTGCTCAAGCATACACTTCCCTGAGGAATTCTGGATGATTCAGAGGCTTCTTCTACAATGTGACACATCTTTATTTCCCTCTAGTGACATCTGGCCCTTGATTTTAAAGTACCCATAAAGTATACTAACTTCTGCATGAAAATATGTTTACTTTTTTTACCCAGGAAGCTGTTGACCTTCCAGAAGGTGCGACTGTTCCTGCTTTGGGTTTGTCCAATAAAGCTGTCTTTCAGGGTAAGACTATTGTGAAATAGTGTGAAGGCACTCCAGAGTTGTTTGTAAATTTACATCATTACTTGTCTTAAAAGTGTATATTTGATGACTTGACTAAGTCTGCTACCATACAACTGATTAACATTTAAGATCATCTGGAACTTTTGTTAGGTGCTGAGCATTTACTTGTCTATGTAGACTTCTTTATTGGTGCCCACCCTATTTGAGTGCCCTCCCGAAGGTAAAAGTGACAACAATAATCTCTCCTTTCCCTGCCATCAGAGACAGGCTTAGGAATTTTTAATACTGATGTATGAGAATGAAGGTGCTGATATGGGAATGCTTGAGCAAAGAGATGGGGTTTGCATTCAGCTCTAATATGGTGGGATTAGTGGCCATTCTTATTTCACCTGGCAAGTGAGTTCCCTAGTCCTGATACAGCTCCTATGAATGTTTATCTTCTGCAGTCACTAATCTTCCCCTATGACCAGCTAGTTCATTATTGCAGTAAATAATTGTTATAATGGTGGAGGGAGTGGGGAGTCTCAAGTGACTACGACCAATTCACAGCCCCGGCTCGATGGTGCACGCTTTTCTCCTCTCGTGGATGAGGCGCCTGTTGTATGCATTCCCGCTGTTCCCTCTCATCCACAAGGTCCTCCTCAAGGTCCGGGAGGACAAGGCTTCGCTGATTCTCATAGCTCCGGCGTGGCCCCGCCAACACTGGTTCTCCATGCTGTTGAACCTCTTGGTGAACATGCCGATGACTTTGCCCATGATTCTGTTTGGCCCAAAAGGGGCTTGTGGTTCTTTAGGGGTTCTTGGTGAAGGACTGAGTTGAATGACCCAGGATGAGGAGAAATGGATACAACTCAATTTTATTATATGATGATAATTATAATATAATGTTAATTTTATGAATTCTTATTAACTTGCTACTATACTATGTAACAGATTTTAAGCAACTATAATTACTATGTAACTAAATTTGTAATACTTGCAATTATTATGTAACTAACTTTAAAAAGCACTTACAAGATAAGGGAAAGGAAACACATTAACAGTTGAGGCCTTTTTCAGTCTAACCACAGTATGAGGTAACAAGCAAAGTAACCACAAACAAAGCAGTGATAGTTAACTAATTACTTACAACCATGCAGATAACAGTCAGATGGGAGAGCATATACATAATGAGTTCGAGCTGGCTATACAACACACGCTCAGGCTGGATTCGGGAGCGGGAGGGTCAAGCCCAAGTTGATCAGACCTGGACTGGCCGTGACGTAGGTTCGTTTTCGGGACACCTCTAATTGCTATACAGGGGTGACTAAATATATAGTTTTTGGAAGTGAATGTGGCACGCGTTGATTGGTTTTTTAGTGCCCCACTGTCTTCCCCTTATTAGGAAGAACAGTACAATATGGAAACTGCAGAAATGGCTTTTTGTGTGGTAACACTAGGGACACATAAGTTTCCTGTGATAAGCACTATGCCCTAATAAGGTTGTGCAGTCTATTGGGCCTCTTTCCTGGCTTCAGGTCCGCTGCGGGGTTGCGAAGCGGCCTGGCCAAAACGAATGGGGGGGAGTATACGCTGTATTAACAGATTCCTCATCACGCAAGGCCATGGCTTCCTTCAGCACCCCAACCTAGAGTCTTTCCACCTCAGCACATGGAAAATCCATGGTTAAACCCATTAGCGCTCCAGTGCTCTGATTCGGTTTGGAAGGTTCTCCTTGGCAGTAGAAAACCCTCCACTCGTGCCACTTATCTAGCCAAGTGGAAAAGGTTCTCTGTTTGGTCCTCACAGAATGGCACCCTTCCTCTGCAGTCCTCAGTCCCCTTTGTACTGGACAACTTACTCTACATAAAGCAGCAAGGGCTAGCAGTCTCGTCAATCAGGGTGCACCTGGCAGCTATTTCTGCTTTCCACCCGGGCGCAGCAGGGTAGTAGGTATTTGCTAACCCCATGGTTGGATGCTTCCTTAAAGGGCTAGACAGACTGTACCCCCAGGTGTGACAATTGGTCCCCCAATGGGACCTTAACCTGGTCCTCTCAAGGCTCATGGGGCCCCCTTTCAAACCTCTAGAACTTGTTTTCTGCTTTACCTCTCTTGGAAAGTGACATTTCTCGTGGCGATAATGTGGCTCAAAGCTTTATTGTCTGAGCCCCCTTATACAGTGTTTTATTAGGGCAAGGTACAACTGTGTCCACACCCGGCTTTTCTCCCTAAGGTTGTTTCACAATTTCATGCAAATCGGGACATCTTTTTACCAATGTTCTTCACAAAGCCGCATGCTAATGACAGAGAACGCAGGTTCCATTCCCTATAAGTCAAATGGGTGCTGGCTTTTTACATTGAGCGGACAAAGCCATTTAGGAAGTTGACGCAACTCTTCATCGCCATTGCTCAGAGAATGAAAGGGCTGATGGTCTCATCCCAATGAATCTCTTCTTGGATCATGGCCTGTATCAGGACATGTTACAACCTGGCAAAGACACCAGCCCCAGCATTGACGGCGCACTCCATGAGAGCGCAAGCTTCATCTGCAGTGCTCCTGGCACAGGTCTCCATTGAAGACATCTGCAGGATGGCGACCTGGTCATCTGTTCCTACCTTTACATCGCACTACGCCGTCACACAGCAGGCTAGAGACAATGCCGCGTTTGGTAGAGCAGTGCTTCAGTGTGCAACTCTGTGAACTCCGACCCCTCCTCCAAAGGACTGCTTGGGAGTTACCTACTTGGAATCAACATGAGCAATCACTCAAAGAAGAAAAAATGGTTACCTACCTTTTGTAACTGTTGTTCTTCAAGATGTGTTGCTTATGTCCATTCCAAGACCCACCCACCTCTCTGTCTGAGTATCCGTCAAGAAGGAACTGAAGAGGTGGCGGGTCGGCATGGACCTATATACACAGCCATGAAGGCTCCACTCCAAGTGGCTCCACAACCGACTCAATGGGTACCGCTAGGGAAAAGCCTTCTGATGATTGTGCATGCGGTGCGCACACACCTACTTGGAATGGACATGAGCAACACATCTCGAAGAACAACAGTTACGAAAGGTAGGTAACTGTTTTTAATTTTTAGACCAAAATAATTCCTAACCAAGATTAACTCTTTTTCCCCCCATACCCCAAAGCCTCAGCAAATGAAAGCGAGTGGAGCATATGATTGATGTGATTTTAAAAACAGTTCAAATACACCTCTACCCTGATATAACATGACCCGATATAACACGAATTCTGTAAGAATTCCAACTAGTCATGCATAAACACTGTCAACAGTTTGGTAAATCACTATAGGCTGACTTTTATTACTCTGCCGAAGCATCTTTCACCATGAAGGTGTCCCAGAGTGGTTGTCTGAAAAGAGATAAGTGGTAGTGATTTGGGGGAAGGGGGAACCTTTCTTTTCTGTTCTGCCTCATTTTTCCTCCCTGCTTATATATTTTTTCTTAGTGCTTTCTGCATGCCAGATATCTTCTCTGGAGAAGTCATCATCCAGAATTGAAAATTTATTACTTGATAGCATCCTTTCTGAGACTGATCTCTCCCTGAGTATACCCCACCTGATAAGTTCTTTGGGTATCTTTTCAGTGGCCTCTTTAGGGTCAGATTAACAGTTGAATTTTAATTTACTAATTTACTTCAACTTTAGGCACCTACTGTATTTAAGTGCTGAGCACCCAGCAGCTCACATTTAAGTTCATGGGAAGTGCAGGGTTTGGCACCTTTGAAAGTTAACCCCTTGTTTAGGTGCCTAAATATAGATTTACAAGGCTAACTTTAGGCACCCATTTTTAAAATCTTGGCTGTAGTGTTTCCACACATCTTTGAAAATACTCCTCTGGTGCACGGGGAGAAGCACATGGCCAACTCCTGGAGTTTGTGGATGAGTCTGAACTGCCTCAGAGTCTTTGTAAGAGAGAGACAGACCAAATGCCTCTAGTCCAGGGAGAGGTCAGTCCCAGAAAGAAAATAATCAAGTAAGAAGTTTTCCATTTCATACTATATATTTGTCTGACAAAGTTTTTTTCCCCCTACTTCCCTAGATGTACATTAGATACTTGAACTTATATTAGATAACTAGTTCCTAATTTTGCATAGTAGGATATTACTGAAATAGACGCATCTTCATCTAAATACTTTCTGTCCTAAAACTAATAGGATCTCTTTACTTATATGTAACCAAATTTTCAGGTCAAGTATTTTCTCTGTGGCTGAATTAAATATTTATTTTGAACAGGTGATATGGCAGCTCAACCAGCTGATGAGGAAGAAAAGTTTAATAGTGTTTCGAATCAGTATCATCAGATTTACTTTCAACCCCTCATCCTTACAGGTATGCAACATAAAAAGGGTATTTTATGTGAATTAATAGTTGCTTTCATTACTAGAATGAGGTTTTTTGGGTGTTACTCTTTGGGACACAGAGATTAACTGGTAAAGAAAAACACTATACTAAATTTGAATAAAATGTATGCATATGTCTTGTAGAACCTCCCACAGAAGATCATTTGTTGCAGAATACATTATGGCCTGAAGTTCAAAAGCTGTAAGTTATAGAAATGTTACAAAATGTCTTAGAAGCTCTTGTAACTGATTCCTGTAGTCTTGTACACAATATTATTATAAATGTTTATAAGGCATCCATTGCAGTAATATGTTATGTTCTTAATATCCAGTGCTCTTATTCATTCATTTGCTAGTTGTTTTGATGTTGTGCATGCTCAGTATGTAGGTTGTAAGAAACTTTTTAATATGGGTCAGTATACAAGTTTGCACTGGATAAATAGGAACTGATATACTTTTAAATAAGCTATTTCCATGTCTCTCAAGGTGGTATGTCTGTAGCATAGCATTCAAGTATAGCTCCTTGTCAGCTTCATGTAGGGCTTAACACTTTTGAACCCTCTTATTAAAAAGCCCCCTGTGACCTGCATCCTATTAAAACATTGATATTAAGACACATTAAGACTAAAGGGCTTATATCAGCAGCCTAGAATGATAGTCAGAAGCAGTGTTCAGAAGCTGTAGAAAACCTGTACTATATTCCCAGCCATAAATGCACTTATGCAAACACAGATCTTTCTGATCCATTGAAACTTTTTTCTCCAGGATTATATGGCAACAGAGAACAGAGCATTTACAATAAACATAAATCATGAGAAGTGTTTTCACGTAATATAGTCATGCCAACTAATATAAACCATTTGGGCAAAAGTAATACACACAATAAATAAAAAAATAAAGCATATATTGGAATTTTTTGTTCCTAAAATGCCAAAAATATGTGTTCTTGGTATTAATGGTGTTTTGAAATTTCATAAAATGACTGAAAAGGGTTTCACTGGCTTAAAAAACCCAAACCTGGGAGAATGGGTGAATCCAGCGGGACCACAACATTCTATTGCGCTTCATTCTGATCAGAGTAAACCTTATAATTGAGCAAGTCTGAACAAGAACACCACCAAACTCAGTCCAGTTTGTAAGGAAACTGAAATCAAGCAATTGTTTCAAATAAATACCCCTGCTACATAGATCTGTATGCATCTGTGTGACAGTCAGCTGGAATTCCCAGAACTGTGAGCCACTTTATCCCTTTTAGCGACAGCAAGAGGAGCTTTGCTGCTAAGCGGACACACCAGCATGTCTGCCTTATCAGCAAACTCTTCAAGATGCTCTGCCAGTCCAAATCTTGCCTAGCAGGTAACAATCAGTGAACCCCAGTTCCTGAGTTCCCCAGAGATATCTTTCTCTGCAGTGCTCAGCTCCTCTTACTGTAGCATTCACAAAACTTACCAAGCCTGCTGCTCCTTTAAAGAGACAAATCCTCCTCTTCAATCAAAGTTGGTTTATGTTAAAAGTAAAACAAGTTTATTAACAAAAGGACATAAGTAAGTGAAACCAAGTATAAGGAATAAGGATAGAAATGTTTATGAAGAAACAAAAATAAAAATATACATCTAAGACTAAAATTCAACAAACTAGTCTTTGGTTCAAAGACATTTTTCTTTCCAGTCTTTCTTCCAGCATGGCTGACCAGTTTTTTAACCTGGATCCTTCAGAGAGTACAGAGTGTTTTGGTTTCTTTGTCACCTCAGGTGAAGGATAAAATAGGGGTTATCTCCCCTCCTTTTTGTAGTCCAGTAAACTTTTGAAATGTATTCTTTGAAAAGTAAGCCCAGACAAAGCCTCTCTTTCATACCGTGCTGCCTTTTCCTCCCACTTGTTCATTGATAGCTTTGTTTATCTTGTATGCAAATGTACCTTCATTGTCTCTGCTTGAGAACCCTGCTGATCAGACAAACAAATACACATTCCTTTGTCTAGGGCAGACTGAGCTTACCCATTGCTAGCTGAACACATTTTCAGAACATAATTCTAGCACATAATTCTTTGTACACACCCTGTATGTGTACACCACTCCATGATGTTCAGGAACATTGTGTTACTAGTTTGTATATGATACTTTACATTACAGCTTATAAATACAGATTATGACAACAATGAGTTGGGATATACTGGGCTGGTCAGGTCAGCTGAAACTCACTGCTAGATACCAGGGAGCCCTTTATCTTCTGGCACTGGGATGCTCTGAGGGCCACAATCTGACACAAGGAGATTCATTTTTCCTGATGGTATTGACTTCAGCTCATAGAGTGTGCTCCAAGCTCTAGTGGCTAATTTACTGTAAAACAGACCCACTCAAGATTCTTTTTCAAGGTGATTGATGGGATTCCCCCCTCTGTTGGAGCCTATCATCGTGCCAATGGTCTTCCCATGCTCTCTTGCCCATCCTACGAATGGCCCATAATTCACATCAAAAGGTCCTTGGGATTCTGCTTGTATTGATCTACCATCTTTGTGTGTCCAAGATGAAAGTAAGAAGTACTTGTGGCACCTTAGAGAC